AGCACTTTCCACAGCTTGATGTGATCAATAAAATCAAAGACCTTTCTATAATCAATGACACACATAGTGGTTTCTTTTTGGTATTCTTTGGCTTCCTCAATTATCCAGAGTGCATCAGCAATAAAAGCAAGTTCATCCTTTCCATTAAAAAGATGATTTTTAAACTTTTATTGGGTTTTGTTTTTTTAATTTCTAAGGAAATAGTTTTATTTTATACAGTTGTTAAGGTTTCATAATTTTTAATATGATATATAGATTAAAATTAAAAATGTAAAAGTATCTAATGATCCAATGATATATTTATTTCTTACCCAGCCCTAACACCAATAAAATCATTAGTGTTATTCATAAAGCAGGCAATACAAGTTTATTTGGGGGGATTGTTGTATCATCTAATTTGAGAACTCATGCTATACTTATTTAATCAAAAGTAAGACTATTCAGTAGGCTTTACTCTTGAAAAATGTACCTGGATACAATATTTGTTAAGATCAACATATTTGATTAAACAAAGGATGATAATACTGTAAGAAAGATGATAAATAAGATCATTCAGAAAAGATACTTAATTGAATGAATTGGCCTTTTTCTGTCATGGAACATCTAGGATTTGATGTAGTCTGATGTTCAGTATCATCTAAATTTCACAATAGCACAGAATTAGAAAATACTTAGTATTTCTGGAAACATTTCCTGAGATGTAACTGTGAGACTCCTATATGCAACTCTCTCTGAATAACTCCTACTGAACTGAGTAGGGTTACTTCTAAATAAGTAAGTCTAGGACTATACTCTATGATGTGTCATTGAAAATGGCAGCAGCGGACAGTACAGCATGGCATACATGTCACTGCTGTTAATGGTGAAAAAGGACAGTAGCAAAACACATTATTTAATTGAAAAGAACTGCTTTTCAAAAAGAGCTGCTGATATGCAGCTTCCACATGCTAGGGATGAAGAAGACTAATGGAATTTAGATGATATGGGTGGGAGATGGGATGCTTCAAAATCCTTCAACGGGATAGCAGTTTCCCTTTTATCCTGTTACAGTTCAATGAGAAAGCCTTCTTATGTTACATGATGTAGGTTTTTAGTCCACTGATATCAGGGAGACAATTAAGATATCTACTAAGACATTTAAATAATAGCAGCTGAGGAATTGAACACTTTGAACGCTTTCCCTGTGCCTCGTTTCAATACCGCAGATGGAAAATCTAGTGGCAACGCCTCAATTAAGATGAAATATTTAAGCCCACCCACTTATTTTCAATGTAATCGCTTTGTTTTAAATAAGTAGCTTTTACAAAACTACAGATGGGAGCTTCATTTCAGATCAGCATGGAGCAAGGGAAAGATACTATCTTATGTTTGAAAACAATGAAGTTAAAGCAGGGAAACAGTTATGAGTCTTACCTTTCTTTTCTTATCAACATCTCTTAATTATTGTAGCAATGCCTTCAATGTAAGTGAATAATCTTTTCCTTCAATTTATAAAGAATGGATTTGCATCCTGGCACACGTAGGTTGTTGTCTAGACCAATGTAATTATTTATAAGCACAGTTGCAGTAGGAAAAATGCTGCTGTTTTCAGACTGGATTCCTTAAAGTAGCATCGTCTTTGCTTCAGGCTGGCATGGGAGCCTCCAAAGTCTGGCTGCTTTAACGAACAGTTGAGGGGTGCTGTGTTCTGTGTCCAAAGTGCTTCTGGATACTTTTTAAAGCATGTCCAACCCCAATTATACTGGCTGGAGGACTGTTTCTCCACCCCCAAAAGACTTCCCAATTTCTACAGAGTAGGGCTACTATATCTGAGCTGCAAAACTCCAGACCACCACTTGATGGCAACAAAAAGTTAGTTTTCTATATTTCTTTATTGCGATCTAGGGATCATGTGGATTTCTGCAAGCCAGATACCAGGAGTAATAAATTAATAAGAGATAAGAGTACTTACATTAAAGTCAATTTCAGGAATGCTCTGTCCAGTAGGCACAAGTACCGTGAAAGGCCCGTATTTCTCCAGGGGTAATGAACAACCCTTAGCTGTTAAAGGATTCCATACCATGTATACATTAAAAAACACCTGAATATCATAAATAATTATACATCTGACTAGATGCATTTTTTCCTTAACAGAACATTTGCCCTATTTGCAATGCGTTCAGCCAAATGTGGAGGTTAAAATTTTTATGAAGACATCTTCATCACATTTCTGTTTCTATCCCCTACCTTAAGAAAATGGGAGAATTCGCTTTTCTTTCTATGTGCTATTTTTCTGATATATTACACCTTCTTGTTTGGCTATTCCTTGGAGGGAGGGCTGAGTTTACTGGTCAAACGTAAGGAACATTCTAGTTTCTTGCATTCCATTTTTCTAGGATCCCTGTAGGCAGCCCTGAATTGGATTGAAATGTTGAGGGAGACATTTAACTCTCCCTCAATACCCTACATCATTTTTTCAACCTACATTGTCCATCAGCTGCTACTTTTGCCAGACAGGGAAAGATATGCAAGTACTTACATATTTTCCACAGAAGGGGAAGCAGAAAGATAGGGCATATTAATTTCCCATTTTAATATATATGTCTGCTATGTTTAGTGATGCGTGGTTAGAAAAATCTTTTAGGTACATTTGGGATCGCTTTTGAATTTATTTTATTAATATAATATTAAATTATCTTTAGCATTTGCATCCATCCAAAACAAAAAACAAACCAACAAACATTTTCAGCATTCTTGGATATCAAGGACTCTTTTCAAGGAGAGAAAAAAATGTAGCTATGGCACCCCAATATCTTATTCAGTTTAGCTGCAAATTAGAGTAACAATTTTACCGGACCAGCTGAATTACATTCTTCCTTTTTCTGAAACCTATACTTGCTATGAACTAAAGGTCTGCCTGCCCTGGATGATATTTCAATTTTTTTTACCAAATAACAAGCTAATTTAATCAATACTGTTACCCTTTAAGGAAGCATATATGCCATGAGAAGAGCATGATTCAACCCATTTACACAATAACTGTGGAGCCAGCAACAAAATGTCTTCAAATAAATCAACCTGAGACAACTGGAATATTTTAATTATGTTCTAGCATATTGTAGTTATGTGTAGTTAAATTCACTCAGAAAAGAAAGTTACCAAACAGTGTCGCTGCGTCATGCAATCTTCCTCCTTTATTTAGCTTAAAGATTTCACTCAAGATAGTTTTGTAACAGATATTTCCAACTATAATTTCTCCCTTGCGGCAGATGCATCTGAACAAAACAGGAGAAGGGAGAGATGGGTTTTGGGGAGCTGCCCATTATTATGTTTTTGCAACCAATTCACGTTAATTTAGTAACTATTTAGCAGCTATTTGCTCCTTTAGCAAGGAGGACACCAGAAAATATAGACTAACTTATTCAAATATTCATGTTCAGGTATCCAGATTTGTCACTTTAATTTATATAAGGGTGGTTTGAAAAATAAACAGAATAAAGCAAAATTATCAATTGCAAATGACATCAATAATATCAAGATCGCTCTGGGCATGCAGTGACAACAGAAGTAGAAAGTGCCAATGTCAACCTTCTTGGATGGTGTCATCCTGTTGATGTTAACTTCAAATCCAGTGCAGTCTGGGTATTGCAGGAGTAGAACTCCAACACATCTGAGGAGCATCATATTGGGGAAGGGTGCCCTAGTTCATATCTGAATTTGTCAAATGTCCTAGGTCAGTGTTTCTCAATCTTGGCAACTAAGATGGGTGGACTTCAACTCCCAAGTTCCCCAGCCAGCATTGAGAAACATTGTCCTGAATCAGTCTTCCTTTTCTTTCTTACACCCACATTTGCAACATGTGCAATATTGACATTCCATGCTGGGAAAGAGATGATGCCTCTAAACACTTGAAAAGGTCACTCTTATGCAAAATGTAATTATACTGTAAAACCTGAAAGAGTAGAGTGAAGTTTACTTGGTATCTAAAAACTCTCAGGTTAGAAGGAGGGTGATATACTGACTAAGAAGGCTGACTGGCACTGGATTTGCATGCAATTCCAAGGACAGCATATGATTTTTTAAAAAAAATTCCAGGACAGTAATTATTCATTGTAAAATTGGATGCTACTGAGAATCTCAACCAGAGAACCGCATAACTGAGCTAGTCTTCAAAGGAAAAGCAACATTCTTCTATTGCAGCCTAGTGGATCTCAGTGAGGCTCAAAAGAAGCTCCCTATACACAGCTGAATAATTTTGTTCTGCATGGTGGTCATAGAAAGGCCTCAATAGAGAGAGCACTTTCCACAAGGAGAAATATTACAAGTTGTCTTCCAATTTTGACATCTAATATTGGCAATTAATAAATTATTTCATATTTGAATTGATAGAGGATAAGCAGCTTTCCAGTAGCACCAGCTGCTGAACTCTTGCTGCTTTTAATAAATAACAGATACATTTTAGGAACTTTGATGTATTTGTAGCTATTGTCATATTGTTTCAAACATATAATTTGCGTATGTTTGTAGTGGGGATTCCCAAGCCTAAAAAACTGTTGTCAATATTCAGGAAAGAAGTTTTCAGAATGAATGATGTATGGCTGGATTTACAAACATCTGTGTTCAAAAATTTGTTGTTGTTTAGTTGTTAAGTCGTGTCCGACTCTCCGTGACCCCATGAACCATATTGCGCCAAACCTTCCTGTCCTTCACTGCCTCCCTGAGTTTGCTCAGTTTCATGCTCATTGCTTCAGTGATGCTATCTAACCATCTCATCCTCTGCCGTCCTCTTCTCCT